GGCTGGGGGGGCGGCTGGGCGTGCCCAGCGCCGGAGGCCCGAAGCCCCCGCCCCCGCCGTAGGCGCCGCTCTTGCAGCCGCCAAAGTAGGCGGGCGTCCCCGCCCGGGCCCGCGGCCCGTACGCGTCCTGCGCGCCGTCCAGCAGGGCCTCGGGCAGCCCCGCGCCGCCCCCGTGCAGGCCCAGCGGGCCCCCCAGCTCGGCCAGGCGGGGCAGCTCCCCCGGGCAGCGCGCACCTAGCGCGGGCGACAGCGCGCTCGCCGGGCTCGGGTACATGAGCGGGGACGACGGCGCCAGGGCCTCCAGGGCCTCGTCGTCCTCCAATTCGGCCGCTTCCCCGAGCAGGGGTCTCCCGCCGCCGCGGAAGTCGGCCCACGCCTCGTAGTCATCGCTGGCGTGCGAGGCCGGGCTGGTGGCCCACTTGGCAGCGGCAGGCACGGGCCCCGGGGCTGGCGCGCCTGGGGGACTGTCATCGGGGCTTCGCTCAGGTGCCTGCAGCTGCTTCTTCTTGCTCGCCTTGCCCTTAATGCGCAGGAACTTGGCCCCGTTGTCCATGGACACGGCCCTCCGCCGCGGGGTCTTGCCTGTCTTTCCGCCCTCGGGGTTCAGCATCCACCAGGAGCTCTTGCCCGTGCCCTCGTTCTGCACGCGGATGAAACGGGTGTGCAGCGACAGGTTGTGCCGGATGGAGTTCTGTGGCCAGAGACAAGGACATGGGTGGGGGAGTGGGATGCAAGGAGACCATGGGAAAAGAGGAGGAAGTGATGGAAAAGAGGAGGGGGAGAAAATAGAAAAGCGAGAGAGGAAGTAGAAGGGCCAGAACGGGCAGTGGGAGCAAACAGAAATGAAGGGTGGATGGGGTCGGGGGTGGGGGTGGGGGTGGGGGTGGGGGGGTGTGTGTGGGAGAACAGGTGTAAGTACCAGGTTGGACAGGAATACCCACCTTTTCTACCCCAGAACCGCCCCCCTTCCACTGCCCAGAGGGTGGGGCTGGAGCTTTGGGCCTGGCCTTTTCCCAGGAGGCCTGGCCGAACCCTGAGGGCTACTCTCAAGGAGCTGAAGCAGGGCCCCCTCTCCCCAGCTTAGCCCCGCCCCGCCTGGGGCTAGCCAGGCTGCCAGGGCCCCCCAGCAGATTATGTAAGGGCTCATGCCTCCGCGGCTCATTTGTCTGCCCCCTCCCTTCCCAGCCTGGCATGGCGCCAGGAGCCCGAAAACCCAGGGCTCCAGAAATCAATCTCGCGGTGACTGATTAAGCCCTGTTTAGAACTAATTGCTCTTTCGTGTGTGGGGAGAATAAATTACCTGCTTTAATTTCGTGTCTTTAAAATGCAACTGCAGGTAGAGAAGACTGTTAACCCTTTGCTGGGAGGGCCTGGCCAGGGAAAGCAGAATACGCTGGGGGTCTCTAAGGTGGGTATGGGCCCGAAACTCTTCCAAAATTTCCCCCAACTCTTGTGAGCTCCTGTGAACCCTTAGAAGTCTTGGATCCCAGCAAGCTCCTCAGAGCACATCCATCAGCCCTGGGGACCTCAGAGCCCACCTCTACACAGTGCCCACCTTCAGGCCAGCCCAGCTTTCCAGCCCGCCCTCCCTTCCTGACCACCTGACGCACAGTAACTCTGCTCCCAAAAGCCCCTTCCTGGTGGAAGCTTCACAAAGTCCCCACGAATCAAGTGGCATAATCCCCGTTTATAACAAGAAGATCAAGGCTCAGAGAGTTGAAGTGGCTTGTCCAAGGCTACACAGCCCTTTTGGGTACCTCCCTGGGCTCTACCTCTGCCACCCTGCACACCCTCTCTTCTAAATTTCTGCTGTGCCAGCCTCTAGTGCTCCCTATGTCATGGCCCGCTTTTGCAAAGAAGGTGGGGAGGGGGCCACAGCTCCAATGACCTGGCTCCCCAGAGGCACTTGAAGGAGTAGAACTTATGCTGAGCCTGGGGGCCTACCACCTAGTGGCCTTGACCTCCGGATTCAGGCACTGCCGTGGAAACAGCATGGACTTGGCTATCAGAAGAGCTGGGCGGGATGCCTAGCTCTTTTCGGCCACCTAGCTATGTGACCATGGGCTACTGACTCAATCTCTATGAGCCTCAGGGCCTCAGTGAACTATTCTGGCAAAAATGGGCACCATTCAGTGACATGAAAGCTCGGAAAGCTGTAAAATCACTACCTGAGGTCATGTGTGTGGGTACCGATCGGTGAATGCACCAGGTGCTCGTAAACATTGGTTAAAGCCCTCACTCTGGCCAGAAGACCACACTGTTAGATCACCCAACAGACCTGCTCTGTCTCTACCTCCCTAATATCGTGTCCTGAGTATAACTGTGGTAGGCACCAACAAGTCTGGGAAGCTGGCATTACCCCATCTCACTGTACCAGGGAACAGAGGCCCAGAGGCATGATGTAATTTTGCCCAGGATCCCACAGGCAGCAATGCCAGGTACTACCCAGATCTAGCCAGTTCATGGGCCTAATCGTAATTCATTTTTCTGCCCAGCCCCATAACCACTGACGGGTGAGGGCCCTCCCTCCTGCCTCCTTCCCATCAGTCTCCCTAAGGAGGGAGTATATCACCCAGGATATATTTCCACTCTCACCCCAGTTCTAGGTACTGACCTGACCCCTCAAGCCCTGCCCCCCCCCCCCAACCCCAGCTCTCTATCGCTGGCACTTTCCGGTCGTGGGAGGTGACAACTCCAAGGCCCCTCTCAGCGTTGCCCTGCCTGGCTTCCCCTGGGGCCCTGAGAAGAGGGGAACTAGACCCCCAGGGAATGGTGCTCCCTTAAGTAGATACCCCCTTTCTACTCCTGCCCTTACACCTGGCTCCCTAGCCCCTCCTCCACACCTGTGTTCAGAGGCCTCAGGGGCCTCAGTTCTCCCCACGGGACTGTCTGGCTTACCAGAGGCTCCACCTCCTAGCCTCTCCAGCTGGAGGTTGGTCAGGGAACACAACTCTTTATCAATGATCAATGTCATTATGTGCCGGCCTGGTTCTGAGTGCTGGCGGCAGGAGAGAAGGAAGGACATTGCCAAGTGCTGGCACCTACTCAGTACCTGCTTGTTCAGCCCTAAGTGTTATAAGCACTTTATCTCACGTATTCTATCAAACTCCATCCAAGTCCGGGATTGTGATCCCTATCTCAAGATGAGGAAAGTAAGGCTCAGAGAGGCTAAGTAAGCTGCCAGTCACACAGTTCAAATGGCAGAGCCAGGTGTGGATTTCGGGTTAGTCTCACTTTGAGACTAAAGGCCATCACATTCCACCACGGGAGAGGGAAACAAGTCAGGGAATTTCCAAAGAATCTTAGGAAGCCAGTACTCTAGTGCTTCTCAAACTTTCCATGTAAACTATCCCTAGAAGCTGGCAGCAGGGGAGGACTGGGGGCACGTTGCAAGGTCAAAATTTCCTATTAAGCCTTGTGCTTCCATTTCTAGCATTCAGGGGGATTTTGCATTGTACTTCATAATGCATCTAAGTTCCGTGAATATAAAAATAATGTTTTAGATTATCTGTACCAAGAGCATATGCTCTGGGCCTATGAAGCTTTGCACCCTTCCCCACTCTGTTCTGTGCCTGGCCAGGTACCCCTGGGGGCTTGAGCTCCAGTCTGAAACCGTTGCTGGTCCAACCCAGAGAGAAGAAAGGACTTGCCCAAGGTTGCCCAGGACCCGGTCGCAGAACAGGGATTTGAGCACAGGCCTCCTGGCCCCCAGCATGGTGCTCTTTCCACTCCCCCAAGCCTCACCTGGGCAAGCCTGTCCTTCTCTCCGGGCCTGTTCCCCCACCTGGCCACCGATGAGCTGTGCCAACTGTCGACACTGCCAGTGCTTGAAATCATCCAGTCCAGAGGCTTTCAAACTTTTTTTTTCTTTTTTTGTAAGTAGGGGAACTCTGTTGGTATAGGGAATCTAATGCAAAACTGAGTGTTACACACTCAAGCCACCAGGGAGCGGGGATGGGCTGCCCGGAGCTAGGCCGGCTCAGCACCCCTGGCCCTCTCACCGAAAACCAGGCCCCTGTGGAGGGGATTCTGCAGGCCAGATGGGGCAGTTGAGGCCTAGAGGGCTGCCGTACCTCGCTCAAGGTCACCCAGGGAGGTGGCCCAGGGCTGGGCAAGGACTAGCCCTCAGACTGTGGAGCTGGGTACCAGGTGTGCACCAGGGCTGTGGCCCCTGAGGAAGTCCCAGTCCTGAAGCCCCGTCTGGCTCCTCAGGGCCCAGCCACCTGGTACCAGTCAGAGCTCTCAGCCGAGATCCAATGGCGAGCACAGATCACGACTCATCCACAAGGCCTCCTGGGAGGCCAGAGGCCACGGAGGAGGTGAGGGCGGCAGAGGAGGGAGGCGCCTCTGCCAGGCAGCAGTAACCAGGGCTCCCTCTTGGAGTCACCTAGCAACCCGCCACCACAGCCACAGCCCCGGCATGCCCGGGCTCCCCTGTGCCCAGAGCTGGGCCTGGCTTCTGGGGCCTTACACCTCCCGCACCTCCACGCAGGTCTGGGGCAGGTTAGCAGGAGGGAGGCCATCACGGGGCAGAGGGAAGGGACAGTGGGTTACATCCATGCCCATCCCACTCTCCCTCAGAGCCCGGGCTAGGGCGGCTGGCTGGTCCCCTGGGGTTTCACCCACCTGGGAGAGGAGGCTGATGCAGGGTAAAGTCCATGGCCTCTGGTGTTGGGTCTGGATTCCAGTTTGGGCTCCATGGCAGTGCAACTCTGGGGCAAGGTGCTTTGAACCTCTATTTCCTCAAACAGCAACCTGCTTGCACCCTAGCTTCCCTAAAGCCCTCCACCACCCAGCAGTCACAGTGATCCCTTATATAACTTGGATCACGTCCAGTGCTGCCCAGAGCCCTCTGATGGGGGGGGCCCCCCCCATCTCAGAGTAAAGAACAAAGGCCTTGCCATAACCCACCTTGACCTTGCCAAGACCTTCCGTGACCCCTCAGACTCCTCCCCTAACACTGTCCCGCTTGATCCCTCCCTCCTGTTCCCTGAACCTGCTAGGCACAATCCCACCCTGGGGCCTCTGTCTCAGGGGAAAACCGTTCACCCAGACGCCCACATCAATCTCTCCTCTCTTCCGACTCTGTGTTCAGATATCACCTTTTGCCGTGAGGCCCATCCTGACCACTCTTACCATTTGCTCCTCTTCCCTGCCATTTCTTGGCCCCCTTACCTGCTCTAAATTTTTCTAAAGCAATGGTCACTTTCTAAATTAATAATTTATATATATATATATATCTGTACATTAATAAGTTCATATACCAATCATATAAATGTATAATTTAGGGGCACCTGGGTGGCTCAGTCGGTTAAGCGTCCGACTTCGGCTCAGGTCATGACCTCACGGTTCATGGGTTCGAGCCCCATGTTGGGCTCTGTGCTGACAGCTCAGAGCCTGGAGCCTGCTTCGGATTCTGGGTCTCCCTCTCTCTCTCTCTGCTCCTCCCCTGCTTGTGCTCTCTCTCTCAACAATAAATAAATGTTTAAAAAAATTTTTTTAATGTATAATTTATACTCTGTACTATTTTTTTAATCTTTTTTACTTATTTTGAGAGAGAGAGAGAGAGATGCAGAGAGAGGGAGAGAAAGAATCCCAAGCAGGCTCTGCACTGTCAGTACACAGCCCGAAGGAGGGCTCGAACTCACAGACTGTGAGATCATGACCCGAGCTAAGATCAAGAGTTGGACG